GGCCGGGGCGCGCGGCTGGGGTGAAGCCCCCGCGGAGCCGCGACGGGAATAGCGCCCGGCTCCTTTAAGAGGGGGCGGGGCCGCTGGTGACCTCTGACGGGCCCCGCCCCTTCCTGGTTGCCATAGCCACCGCGCGCTGGCGTCCCAAAATGGCGTCGCTGCTGCCGGACAAGCTGTTCGAGGCGCGCGGGCAGGCGCCGGCCCCCAGCAAGGACTTCTACCAGGTGCTCGTCACCCGCAGCCAGGTGCGTGGGCGGGCCGGGGCTTCGCGCCCGGCACGCGGGAGACTGCCCCGTGCAGGGAGGAAAGGCTCGGGCCGCACGTGGGTGCCCCTCGCAGCGGGTGGCCTCTGGGCAAGCTCCCCAGCCTGTCAGTTTGTATCTTCCGGTGGACCTGGGCCCATCCAGTTAACTGGTCTCCACTGTGTGGGGCCAAAGAGTAAAAGATGCAACTAACAGGTTTTTTTGGGGCGGGGACAACTAAAGGGGAAAAAAACAGGATAGGAGTGACATGGGAGTCAAAATGTGAAAATAAAGCTCCGCTGCCCGAGCCGGGGTGCCAGGGGGGTTCTGGGAAGAGGATGGTACAGAGCCCCATGACCCCATCCCGGAAAGGAAACGTGATCAACCAAGCTTGGGGTTACAAATGGTCTGGGGATGCCCCATGGAGGAAGTGGCTGGGTTAATTCAAATTAAAAATACTAGAGGCAGATCAGTACTTTTAAAGTGAAGATGACTAGCATTGGAATCAAAGGTATCCAGGTTGTAGCCATATTGGTGTAGAGGCAAAAGGAATCGAAACTCGTGGCAGAGGTGATGTCTCTTATTAGACCCACTAGATTTTTGCAAAACAAAATCTTTAATTCATTCCATCTTTTAATTCTCTATGAAATATGAAACACCATAACCAAAGGGAAATATGACTGCATCCTGCTTACGACCAAATAACTTCAAGGTAAACAGACTATTCCAACTTTTATCTGAGCCTTATCTGCGTATAAAACAAACTGTTCCAAATAGGAGATTTTGCCACACCTTCTGCTCTCCTGTGAAATATGAACTTTTATTTCTACCCAGGAGAGCTTTTACAATCTTTTCTCCTATGCCTGAAGAAAGGTGCTTGTGCCCAAAAGCTTGCCATTAAAGAAATGATTTTGCAAAAATCTAGTTGGTCTAATAAAAGATATCACCTCTACCACAAGTTCTGATTCCATTTGAATTGAAGTGAATTTGTGAGTACAATGAAGCTGTTTGTCCTGGGACCAAAAGCTTAGCTTGAAAAAAAAACAGTTTAGGGTTCACACAGTGACCAATGCTGAAATATAGCTGCACTGAGCATGGCAGCGAGGGAGGGAGGTGGCCCTTGTTCATGTCTTCAGGAACTTTGTCTCTGAACACAAGAGAATTTTGCTAATTCACAGTAATTGGTCGAATGAGCTGTTGTTGAGAATAACTAAACTTTATAGGCCTATACACATGTGCCCTTGTGCTTAACTTTACTAGGAGTAGACCTCTTCCTTCAAGTGATAATGAACATGCATCTCATGGCAATAAATTTAAGACTGTGACTAAGGATTTGCTGGATCAGTAGCTAATTATAAAAAAAACTACAGGTGGATACTACAACTTAAAAATCATAGTCACTGATCTTGCAACCCTGTATGCTCTTAACTTGCATGCAAAAAGTTAAACTGAATTTGTATCTTGCATTACTTTTGCAAAAATGGTGTATTTAAAAGATTGTTTTTATATTGCTTATTGCAGTAGTAGCTAAGTACTTAAGTTACAAAGATTAAGACTAGATTAGATATGCTGTTTGCAGGGTTGCCAACCCACAGTTAAAATGTCAAGGCCTCGTTGTACAGAAAACCTTGAAAATGTAAAACTCAAAAGCTCAAAAAACAAAAGAAAACTAACCACCTTAACTGACTTATAAGCTAACTTAATGACATCTTTTTTTCCCAACACTTGGGTATGGAAATAACTTGCTTACAAAAAAAAATCCCAATAAAACAAAAATATTTGCATATCACAGGTAACCAAGGAAGAGCTTTAATAAGTTTTACAGAGTGAGTGAATTCTAACATTTGGAACCTTCACCTTGGAAATCTGTGCTGTTTTCATAGTGTGCAGCCTTAGGAACTAACCAAAAGAGCAATCTAAATTGCTGCAAGGGGAACCAAAGGTCTTTCAGATAACTAGCTTCCTGTTGCTTTAAACATCATCATCCAACACTGATTTGTACCTAGAGGAAAATAGAAAGCCAGTGTACATACCATGGATACTTTAAATACAGGTAAGGAGCTCACATCATCTTGTACCTTTCAAAAGAAGGGCGTTTCTCTGCACTGAGAGAAGCTTGCAGTGTAGTTCTAAGATGCGGACTCTGTCACCAGTGAAGCTACATATTCTGCACATCAGGCATATTCTCAAGATGAATGCATTATCATTATTAGTCTCAGTTAGTCCTGGAGGGTGCACATGCAGCCCTTACTGTCACTAAGTCTTCCATGTTTCAGCCAGGCAGTTGAGTGCTGGTGATTTACTTGGTCTGCAGAGTAATGCCTTCAGTGCAGAGTAACGCCACTGCCATGTAGTGCCTTCAACTGGCATTCCTCCATCTGTTGCAGAGTTGCCCTATGCCATTCCACTGAAAGTCCTACTACTTATAGCATTTCTGTTTCTAACACTTGAGGCATAAAATCCTGATTGATTCTGACAGCAGAATGATGTAATAGAATAGTCATTAATTAAAAAAAGTATTTCCTCCATTCTCCCACCTGACTGTTGCAAAATTTCTCAAGATTCAACAGGTCTTTCATCTGTCTGACAAGGTATATTATAGTCTGTCAAAGAATCCATCTTTTTAAAACACATCCTTTACGAAGTACTTTGTAAAGGACATCCTCATCTTTCTGTCCAGGGCTTCCAGACTTGTCTTGAAGTATGTGAATATAACCCAGCTGTGTATTGCCAGTTTTGTGTTTGAAATATAACTCAGGCCTCCAGGTGCATTAAAACCTCTTGAGGAACCTCTTGGTTTCCATTCTTCCAGTGTTTCATCTATAGAAGTAAATTCAGCCTCAGATATTTGTATGCCTGCTTCATGGCCACCTCCTTGATGTATGGCTTCATCCACAAGCTTCAGGTGCCTAACCACACCTCCAAGTTGAACATGTAATACAGCATGCTTATCCAACCCATAACTTATGGATATAGAGTAACTGAAGGAGTTTACAAGTTCTATTACTCTCTTGTGTTGACTTGCATTGGAGAGACAATTTCAGGTCAGACATTTCAGGTCACGCACATAGACTAGATGTAACAATTGGGTGGCTTTTTGGTGACATCATAATCTTAGCTGAGTCTTGCAGTATTCTAGCTTGATGGATCAAGTGAGAGGCAGAACCATGTTGACCTCGGGCTCTTTTTTAAAGGTAACTCTACCAACCAGGATTGGTGCCACATACTTTTAGTCCTTGATGTGCATGAAATCCTCATCATGCAGAAAAGTGATTTTAAATCTGTTGTGCACCTGAGCACTGATGACACGGATCCAGAGGACCTGGACAAATTGGAGAAATGGTCTAAAAGCAAGCAGATGAGATTCAACAAGGACAAGTGCAAAGTGCTGCACTTGGGATGGAATACCTACATGTACAAATATAGGCTGGGGAATGCCTGGCTAGGCTGCAGTACTGCAGAGAAGGACCTGGGTGTTGCAGTAGACCATAAGCTGATTATGAGTGAGATGTGTGTTCTTTTTCCATGAAGTCAACCGCATACTTGGTTATATTAAAAGGAGTGTCACTTGAAAATCAGAAGACATTATTTTCGACTGTGTTTGGCACCTGGAGTACTGTGTCCAGTTTTAAGCCCCATATTTTAAGAAACGTGGATGGTTTGGAAGGAATCCAACAGAAAGTGACAAAAATTATTAGAGGCCTGGGAAATGTGACTTATGAAGAAAAGCGGAAAGAACTAGGAATGTCCGGTCTCTAGAAGAAAAGCACTTGAAGGGTAAGAGATAAAGAGGATGAAGATAGTCTTGTCTCTGTCAGTGTAGAGTCCTCAGTGCTGCCATGATCATCCTCTGCCTCCAGCCCTTTGGTCACCACTGTCATGGTGGCGCTTCACTGTCTGTCCCCGTCTGTGTAGACTATAAGCTATAGCCTCGAGCTGCAGCAGAGGAAACCAGGTTGGGGATTAGGAAGAACTTTCTGACTATGAGGTAGTAAGGCATTGAAACAGGCCACCTGAAATTGTAGAAATCTCCACCCATGGAAATTTTCAAAAGCAGACTAGACAGGCACTTGGCTGGGATGGTTTAGTCCAGAATTCATAGATCATAGATTCATAGATGTTAGGGTCGGAAGGGACCTCAATAGATCATCAAGTCTGACCCCCTGCATAAGCAGGAAAGAATGCTGGGTCTAGATGACCCCAGCTAGATACTCATCTAACCTCCTCTTGAAGACCCCCAGGGTAGGGGAGAGCACCACCTCCCTTGAGAGCCCGTTCCAGACCCTGGCCACTCTAACTGTGAAGAAGTTCTTCCTAATGTCCAATCTAAATCTGCTCTCTGCTAGCTTGTGGCCATTATTTCTTGTAACCCCCGGGGGCGCCTTGGTGAATAAATACTCACCAATTCCCTTCTGTGCCCCCATGATGAACTTATAGGCAGCCACAAGGTCGCCTCTCAACCTTACTCCAACTGCGGTCTGACCAGCGCCCAATAGAGGGGAAGTATCACCTCCTTGGACCTATTCGTCATGCATCTGCTGATGCACGATAAAGTGCCATTGGCTTTTTTTGATGGCTTCGTCACACTGCCGACTCATGTTCATCTTGGAGTCCACTAGGACTCCAAGATCTCTTTCCACTTCTGTGCCACCCAGCAGGTCATTCCCTAGGCTGTAGGTGTGCTGGACATTTTTCCTCCCTAGGTGCAGCACTTTGCATTTCTCCTTGTTGAACTGCATTCTGTTGTTTTCTGCCCACTTGTCCAACCTGTCCAGATCTGCTTGCAGCTGTTCCCTGCCCTCCGGCGTGTCCACATCTCCCCATAGCTTTGTGTCATCTGCAGACTTGGACAGAGTACATTTCACTCCCTCGTCCAAGTCACTGATGAAGACATTAAAGAGTATCGGTCCAAGGACCGAACCCTGTGGGACCCCACTTCCCACACCCTTCCAGGTCGAAACCGACCCATCTACCACGACTCTCTGGGTGCGACCCTCCAGCCA